GGGCACCAAAATGACCACTTAATTCGCCTAATTGTTGAAATTTTGTGCCTTTCTGACCAGGTCATGCCATTGAAGCTTCTCCACTTTGTCATTCACTCCCGATACACGCTATTTGACTCGCCCGATTTTACTGGCATCCAAAGTTTTGGTTGGTTCTTTTTGTCTTTGAAAGAAACGAGAGATTGCAGTCTCAAATACATCAGAGTTGGCAAAAGGCAATAAAAAGTCTTTCAACCTGTTGGCAAAGAAAGAGGAGGGATACGCGAACAGAAAAGATCTCCACTTCAAGGCACACAAACTTGTCCAAAGTTATGAAGAAGGCGCTGAGAATGCTGACATTACGAAGTTCAGAGTTGTCATAATTTTTGACAGTGTATTTAGCACAGTGAATTAAAAATTCACATTTTTTTGCCTTTTCAAGAAATATTCCCCACATTTCATTTTTCCGTGTGGTAAAAATTCCCTCAAACCAGTACAGTTATCGTTGATCTAGGGAGAGGAAGGAAAAAAAAAAACGTCTCCCTCACGGCTTCATCCACAGGGCAATGAGGGGAAAAAGGTGTAAACTCATCACCCAAGCACACAAAAAGTGGGTACCTTTTTTGGATAACTTTGTCGAGTCACTATCTCAATTGCATTGGCTGGACGCCTTCTGTACGTGCCACTCTCAACGGTGGCCTTGGAAGGGCACTCAAATCGTCCACACGTGCAATGGGTTTGGACGGCGTCAGTTTTCACCTTCATGCGAAGGATTTACTGAGGACGCAGTCAGTATTTGCATTTCTTTTTTTTTCTTTAGTGAAAAGCCGGACACAACAACGTCGGAGGGGGTTGTACGACCAACTTCGCTTGTTGCAAACGTCGACAAGACTGACCTCCTCCTCACTTGTGTCAATATTCTCGGATTTGGTAATCCTGTAAGTGAATTGCACTGCACAAAATTAACTCCTCCACCAAAAGCATTTTAGTCAACGTTGTGTCAGTGACGATAGGTGCCAACAGAGTCGTCCAACCGATTAAGCAGTCAGTCGGAGCAATGTTGGAGGAAGATTGTAGGGCTAAGGACACAGGAGGATCGTATTGGTAGCACCGCGAGCCTCATTGTGTTGCCTCCTCTAATCAAAGATGCCTAAAAATGGACAAATTTCCGCTCCGCCCAATTTTTGTAACCGCAAAATTACAAGTTCCAGTCCAACCAAAATACTCCACCTAACTTAACCAAGAAGGAAGGAGTAAAAAGTCACTTTTATGAGCGCCATGAAAGGTATTACTGATTTTTAAAATGCAGTGGACAAATCACTTTTGGGTGGAATGAAGAACGGTCCAACTGCATCACTTCTCCACCTTCCTCTGTCATTTCTACCTAAGGAGACTTTTTTAATCAGCATTTATAGTTTACCAAACTCGTTTATTTTTTCTTTTTTATCTAAAAAAAAATTACTAAAACTAGAGTCTTCCAAACGAACCGATGGCGGAGTCAGCGGAGGGTAATTTCACTGATGGAGGAGACAGTGATTCGTCCACCACTCGAAGCGATGGAAGTGACGTTTGTTCCAGCTTCATTGAAGGTAACAAAAAAGTAGCGCTTTTTTTAAATCTCTTTTGACTTTTATTTGGTTAAAAGTTAGTTGTAGTGGGGATTTTTTCCCCTCCACTACCAGTAGACGACTAGGAGGGGCTTCAACATGAGTGATGTCTTTATTTTTACAGGTTTCACCAACTATTCGACGGGCTTTTCATGGTGTATTTTTTTGTCGTGGAAGTTCTGAGAGAAGGCTGACTTTTGTGAGCTAAAATTGACAACTTTGGATGTGAAGTGGGGAGGAGGTGGAGGTGGAGGAGGAGGAGAATCGACTGAAAGAACAAGACTTACAGTGAAATGGATGCAATTAGGCTACGACTTTTGATTCATCAAAATGAAGGCTTCCTAGGCAACAAAGGAAACAACCAACTTTGTACCGATCCAGTGCATTGTTATGTCAATAGTCCAGAATGTGGAAGCATTTCTGTGAGAACTACCCCCCCACCAAATAGAAATAAAATTTCCAACATTTTAAGGACGAAAGAATGCGAAATTTTTGTTTTTTGTTAGGCAGAAGCAAATGAATCCCCATGGCGGGAAGAACCATGCAAGACGAAAAGCAGCACGGAAGGAAAGGAGGAGGAAAAGAGGATTGCATTTTTGTCCACTGACTTATTTAAATGTCGAATTTTAACTGGTCATTACAGTGCTTTGGTATTTTTAAACTTTCTTTAAATACACTGACTAAAGAGGTAGGAAGAAAGTGTCAAACAAAAAGTCGTTTCAACCAAAGTGGTTCCGACAAGGCATTGGATGTTGTGGGTCTACTGAAACACCAGCGCACCTCTCGCCAGCCTTTCGATAGCACATCGCTAACTCGGCGTCCTTCTTCCTCCCCCTATTCAGATGCCTTCGTGCCAAAGGTGAATGCCGATTCGGTGTTTCTACAATGCGGTGAAATGCACAACGACATGCTCTGCGCCCGATGTGATGAGGTAAGCGATTGACCTTCCAAGGTGTCTCATTTTTCTCTTCTCCAAGGGGAGAGGATTCAAAAATAGGTGAAAAATGGGTTTCAGTGGGAAAGAGAACTCGTTTGGAGGTAATATGTAAAGGTTGAACATACTCAACATGTCGTATGAAAGTATTGTGCACTTTCTGCTTTCATGCATCTGATGCCTGAGACGCGGACAGCATCGTTTGCAAACCAGTACGACTTTTCTGTCAAACGGATGCCATTTTGGTTTGAAGGTCGTTCAGATCTTCTCCTCCTCCTCCCCCTCTCTGTCGTCCTCGTACTCTTTCACCTCCTCCTCTCCCTCCTCCTCCTCCTCCTCCTCCCCCTCTTTGTCGTCCTCGTACTCGTTCACCTCCTCCTCTCCCTCCTCCTCCTCCTCCTCCTCCACCTCTTTGTCGTCCTCGTACTCTTTCACCTCCTCCTCTCCCTCCTCCTCCTCCTCCACCTCCTCCCCCTCTTTGTCGTCCTCGTACTCTTTCACCTCCTCATCCTCCTCCTCCACCTCCTCCCCTTCTTTGTCGTCCTCGTACTCGTTCACCTCCTCCTCGAACCAAAAGCAATGGCATACTGAAACGACTAGCCACATGACATGTTTGCTTTATATTGAAAGGACAGCTCTTTCTAATCCGTGACAATTACATCAGCATGTTTTTTTGAAATGCTTGGAATGTGGATAAGAAAATGTCATTTAAAAAAATGAAAGTTGAGGTAATCTCCTCTCCCTTTCTCCCTTAAGTAGGAGAATTGTCGGTTTTGAAGAGGGGATATGTTTTACACTCATTGCAAGCTAAATACGTAAACCAATTTAATGAGAACAATTGAAGTAGTCTCCCTTCCTCTGCACCATCTTTTAGCACTAATTTTTACGAAATTTCCCCTCTACGCAATTACTGAGAGAATTACCTAAGGGATTTTCAGGTGAATTATTTATTCATATCCCACCTACCAACTTTATGGGGTGGTAGAGAGTGAACTTAGGAAAGGAGCAAATTGTCACGCCATTCAGAGGTCCCACTTGGACGGCATGACTGGTTGAGGAATTGTGAACTTTGACCTCTTTCCTCTACTCACCCGATGAAGGTTTTTACAACTATGGTGGGTTGGAGGCTAGAGAAGTGGATGGACTGCGTCGGAGCACATTTTTATACTCCCCTTCAACGTTCCGTCTCAAGGCATGGATCCTGTTTCAAGCATTTGTCAGGCTAACGATGGATTTTTGCTGACAAAAGACGTCTGTTTTAGGCAACTGGTAGATTCATTCGAAACTCTGCTGCCTGACACAGTGCCTTCTTTCAGGAAGGCGGATGTGTTGGACAGCCGCCATCCAGACATTCGATTTCTTGAAAGCCTTTATTATGAAGGTGTTGATAGGAATTGCTAGGTTCTTTAACGCTGGAACCTCCTGACTCCTAGTCTTACCTTCAGGTTCGCATTAGTCCAGTCGTGAACCGAAGAGGACCGCTTTTGGTGGCAGATGAAGCAAATCCCAATTGGGTGTCTCGTTGGATCATGGTTCGACGCCCCTTCCTCTACATTTATGAAAACGAGAAAGACACTTTAGAGCGTCGAATTATCAACCTTAAAGTAGCTCATCTGGAGTACAGGTAAATGAAGTTGTCTCATTTCATTCATCCATTTATCTCCATTTTAAGTGCACAGGAGGGTGAAATTTTCGGTCCAGTGAAAGGGAGTCCAGACAAGTCAAAGGTGGTGGACTCAACCAAGCATCCGATGATATTTGCTCTCCAATATGCGGATCGCAAAGTCTTCATGAAGACCGGACCAAATGCAAGTAAAAATGAGATACACGAGTGGTTGTATGCCATAGACCCTCTGATGGCCGGAGAGATTAAGTGAGTGAACTCCTTTGATCCGTGATGATTCAGCTGCACGATGCCAAATCAGTTTGAGCTAATGGACAGTAGTTTGGCAAAAATGCTGACTAACATGCAAAATAGAGGTGGACGATAAAATCATGGCTCAGAAGAGCCTCGTGGGCATCGTAAGGAGGCAGTTTCACAGTGATAGACGGACGGACTGAATGAAAGATAAAACCTGATACATGAAGAAGGTCTCAGAAAAGCAGGCAATTACTTCCTGTTGGCAATCAAATAAAGGCATTGATGTGTTGATAAGTGGAGAGTTTATGTGACCAGGCGTTGAGTGTTGAATTCAAACCAAATGGAAGTGATCACTGACAAAAGAAAAGCACACATTCATCTATTCATTCATCCGCTACCCACTTCACCCTTTCATTCCCTCTCGCATCCATCGGCCCATCCCTCCACTTGTTAGTCTGTCGTCCACTTCATACCTCAATCCATCAATTTGTCCACTTACCCTGTATCCCACTCAAGCATTCACTCATCCCTCCACCTGTCAGTTCATCCACCCACTCAACTGTCCAGTCTTTTACACTTCTCCACCATCTCCCCAATCACTCATCCGTCTGTCCGTCCCAATTTGTCGCCCTCAATACAATTCATAGTCTCCCCAACATCCATACAAAATTCACTTGCGAACCTCGTTTGCCGATGTGTTTTAGTGTGTCTCCCTCCACTACCACTAGCATCGTAATCATCGCTTAATTTGTAATTCACGTCGAAAGAGAATGAGACAGTCTCAAATCCACCATCAGGAAGAGTAGTTAAAAGGCGTGTCCCATTTTTGTCCATTTTCATGTGCCTTCACTGCATAAGTGTGGGGACAATTTTTCACCAGTACAAAGCAAGTAAATGAAAGTCCATCACATGATGGAAGGCGAGTGAAACAGCCACACTGGGACTGGGGACCCCCCCGCACCGACAAAGCAGTCTCATTGCAAGCGAATGGGAGTGGATTATGTAGCCAGAGGCATGAAGTTGTTCAATAAACTCGTGCAGTTGTTTGGATCCGCTACCTCAAAGGATTTCTATTTACTGTTTACCTAGACGAGTAGGCCAGCGTGTTCCACAAGAGGAAAACAGTATAACGAGAAAGGTTAGATGGTTAGAAAAGGCACTGACTTAAAAGTAGTAAACAGGTAAAACGGGAACGGAATGCAGCATAGGTGAGAGGAGACAGGAATGATAACTCGCAAAACTTCGATGATTAGCATCAGCAATTATAACTTTCATCGTTGCCTTCAGAAGGAAATAAGGGAGGAAATACTGCCTCCTCCTCCTCCTCCTATGTGTTGCTTATACCAGTAAGGGTTCAAGACAAAGTGGACTTTTTATCATCAACAGACCGTGACCGTAAAAAAATGTTTGTTGTTCTAGTGCCTGGGAAGGAATTATTGCTGCTTGTGTTTTTTTCCTCTCCCCCTAAATAGGTCACGCCTGGGAAGATTAAAGGCCTGAGAAGAGAACACAGCAACCACAGCTCGCATTCCAACTACTGTAGTTGCTTCACTTGCCTCACCCTCCTTCCGCTTTGCCTCGTCTCATGCCCTTCCACCCTCCCTGTGCCTCCCTCTGTCCTCCTTCTCCTCCTCCTCCTCCTGCTCCTCACTCAGTCCTCTCACTCACTCACGCTCCCACTCCCTCCCTCCCTCCCTCCCTCTCTCTGTTGTCTGATGTTAATTGCCTCATGTTGGCGATAAATAAACATGCACTAACCAGCCTCATCTTCTGCCTCCCCACTACATGGCGGTATCAGTCACTCACTTTGTCTACCCTTCGCCCACCGCTCAACCAACCTCCTGTCTTCACTCACCTGTGCCAATCCACTGGCATCACCACAACTGATGACAGCGTTGAGCTAAACATCTGCACCTCGCAATACACTAGAGCAAAGCGGAACGGGTCACTGCCTCGCTTCCCCATACTGACCAGCCCTAGTGGTTGCCCAGATGCCTCACCGAGTTGTAAGCAACTCGCGTTCTCACTCGCGTCGTGGCTAGAGAAAGGCATGATGGGGACCTGATAAAGCATTGCCTTGAGGGAATTTCAATCTCCATCCCTCCCTCCCTCCTCCCTCCCTCACTCTCTCACTCACTCACTCACTCACTTCCTCTCCACTCGTCTGCCAGAGGAGGGCGGTCCTCGACGAGGACATTGGTAGCGCAATGGACCTCCAAATGGTTGAGCTGATTGCCTTCTTACATGCACATTTCCAAGCAAATCTGCTCCCTAAAGTGCACGTCAATTAGTCACATCGACCGTACTTTTGGCAGGCATATAAGTGTTACTTCACTTTATGTCTCTTTGCTCTCCCTTTCCCCCCTCCCCTTGCCCAAGTGCCCAAGTGCCAAAGTGGTCCTCGTGCGTGCGGCAAGATAGGCGAGTAGCACCCATTTGGAGGACAGGGGCGGGGCAAGTGGAGTGCAGTGTTCAAGCAGTAGGGACGAGCTCCTGCATTTCATTCCCTCATTTCACACACCAACTTTGTGCGGCTGAGTTGAAGCAGTACATTCTACACCAACTGCCAGCAACGGCGCAACATGTCGAAGGGAGCACGAGACGTGAGGAATGACTAAAGACTTGGCCGGTGTTTCCTCCTCCCCTCCTCCTCCTCCTCGTCCTTACCTATTGCCACGACCACCAGTGGGAAGGAGAGCCGTTTGCCATTGTCGCACACACTTACCGTGCCCACTTCCATCGACCATTCCGTGTCCAGCCAATGAGGACATAGCGAAGCCGACACTAAACACCTCCCACCTCATCGTCCATTTCACTTTGCTTCCATGTGGTCACGTGGTTGTGTCGGTGGGGTGCCCACAATCAGGAGGGATGAAGCCTCTCTGCTGAGGATTACAGCGTGACACTGTGACGGTGTCCACTTCCACATTCACGTGGGTTGTGAGGTCACCCCACGGTTTTGTCCACACTACCTCATTTCCTTCACTCACTCGTAACGCAATCGCATTTGGAATGCTTGAACATCTACGGTGGGGAGACAGTCCTTCTCTCCACCACTGACCACGTGCACACACACAATGAAGACAAAGCGCTGTCCTGTTGAGGTGGCGTGACGAATGTCCACAAAGTGAGCAAATGCGTGACAAAAACGTCACCTCCTTCATTGCCTCACTAACTTCTCCCTCATCTCACCTCACCTCAACGCAGTCGGTCAACCAGTCAGACAGACAGACGAACAGACAGGCAGACTGTCAGTCATTCACTCAGTCAGCAAACAGTTCGCCCACATCAGTGTGGCGGAAGTTGAGACCAAAGTGACAATCATTCGATCCTTTAATGCATCCACCACAACTCCTCACACATCAACGTCGGTGTGGTCGAATTGTCTTGACGATTCGCTCATTCCTTGCTTCCTTGCTTCAACTGCCTTCACACGAAACTATTGAAACCATCTTGTATGGAGTGACA